GGCAGAACATGAGGTGGACGGACTCAAGAAAGGAAGCCACCGTTGTGAGTTGGCAAGACCAAATGGCCGTAAACAAGTGGATATTTGGGGGCCATTTAAGTCATGACGTTCCGTTGGAAGCAGAAAAAGACCAATTTTTAGGTCAGTCTTCTGACAACCATTTAAGGTCAAATTTTGTGGGGACTGATGCCAAACTTGGAGGTTATACTGTGGGAAAAAGTTGCTCAGGTTCCACATTTTGTTTGTCACCCTTTGAAGAGGCAAACCCTGCTGGTTTGAGGTTATTATGGGGGGAGAGGCTAGGTCGGAGCTATGCAAAACTTTTGGGCTGGCAAATGCTTTGGACTTCATTTCCCAGCATCCCTTTCCACTGGCAGAAACTCTTGGGAGATGAAGTCCCCCTAAAAAAATTGGCAAAGCAAACATTGAAAAACCCCAAGACTTAGGTGAGGTTCTGGGGTCGATATTGTCTCCTGAGAAGCCAGGACAAGGAGTTAAGTATTTCAACTTGGACTTTGTTCAGAAAAGTGTTTTTTAAAAAGACTACAGCTCGCAGAATCCCCCAGCCAGCAGCCGTGTGGCTTGGGGATCCTGGGAGCACCATCCAAACCACCTAGTTTTTTTCTCCCAGGCTCAGCTATGTGTTGATGACTACGGTAGGAAGGGCTGTTTCCTAAATTTTAAACAGGAAATGCTTGGAATCTGCCTGTCTTGTCTGACTCTAAGGTATTTAAAACATAAATGCAGCAATTTTTCTTCTCCTATTCCCTTCCCTTCCCTTTCATATATGACTGACTACAGATTTTACACTTCAGCCTTTTACACGCCCGTCTAAACATGTATTCATATAGAACGGACACGGGCTGCCCGCGGCTCATCTGCCCAGCCTGGCGAGGGAGGCATTCACATCTCCCCGGCAGAAACAGCTTCCTCTGCATTGCAAAGGTCAGGCAGAAAAGCAAATATGTGTAGGGGAGTTTGATGCTTGCTGCATCTAGCCACAGCCTTAGCTGTTGGATCACATCCCCTTGCCCCAGACCCCCATTAGCCTGCTATGCACCTTCCTTGATGCATACTCTTTTGCTAAGACTGTGGCCCCACGGCCCCAGCCCAAGACATTCAGCCGCATGAGGTACAACAGCACATGCTGTCCTCCCCTCCATGCACCCAAGATACACCATGCTCAATGCTGGCTAAGTTGCAAGTTAGAAAATGCAAGTTAGAAAATACCACCAGCTCTTCTAGCTGCCTGTGGTCACAGTGGTGATGTATCCTGCTTTACAGAGGACATTCCCCCTTGGGACACTGAGCAGTTCCCAAACAAGCGAGTTCAGGTCTTGAAGCTGCCTGTCGTTTAGAGAAGCAGTGCCCATCCTTGTGTCCCCAGGTGTTCTTGGGCAACAACTCCCTGAAATTCTGGTCAGCATAGCTAGCGGTGAAGGCTTCTGGGAATTTTAGTCCAAGAATATCTGGGGCCACAAGGTTGGGAACCACTGACTTGGTGAGAATGAGCATGCACCCAGGTGCATCCATGCATGTGACTGTGCGTGTCCTTACCATGTGTTCAACTGATGCACTCTATTTCTCTTTAGATAATAGTGATGTTTTTAAAATTTGCATCTGTTTCTATAAGTTACCACATACCCATTTTATTTAAATCTGTGGCCCACTTTGCTTGCAATGCGTTTTGTATTTTTTAGGTGATGTGTTAATGGTCCTCTCCCTTGCCACACACAAGAAAACAATTGTTAATAGGTGGCCATTCAACCCATAACTGGCTAAGAGCAATACTGAGGGGATGAGGCAGGGACAGCAATATAGGCAGAGAGTTAATTTTGCTAATTGCGTTTGGAAAACAAATGTCGCAATCAGAGAGTGCCTCAAAAGGAGGCGTTGCCATTGCTCTTCTATGCTCCAGGGTTTCCAAATTCGATTACTGCTCAGTTGTAATTAATATTGACAAAATGGAACTGTGGAGTGGGAAAGAAGAAGGGGCAGGAAGAAGAGGAGAAAACTGGATGTTTAAAACTCCCCACCATCTTTAGCTGGTGGTCACAGTCTGCTATTTCATGCCACAAGAAGTTGGAAACTGCAGAAAAAGGCATTTGTGACACTTTCCTCCACACCCAGGGTTGCGTAACAAGACTTCTTAGACCAGTGGTTCTCAGCCTAGGGGGGTCCCGTTGTTCTTGGACTGCAACTTCCAGAAATCCAGCCAGCATAACTAGTGGTGAAGGCTTCTGGGAATTGCAGTCCAAGAACACCTAGGTTACCGATGGTTAGGAGAAGCCACTGTCCTAGATCAAGGATGGGTAAATTGTGATCCTCCAGCTATTTCTTGATTGTAGTTCCTTCCCATTGCTGCTGGTTGGACAGCTAATAGTGAGGAATGCTCAGACTTGTAGTCTAGCAATATCCTCAGGGTTGCTTTCAGTACACACTTGTTCTTGATAGAAGAGGTGGGAAATTTGGCTGTTTTTGGAATATAGCTCCCAGAATATTTGACCAGCACAGCCATAGATATGCAGCACAAAAAAGTTGAATTCTTCCTCTTTGGGCAGCATTCCACCAAAAAACAAACAAACAAAAAAACAAAAAAAACACGAAAAAACAAAAAAACTAACAGGCATTTCCTGCATCGCAGGATGGGTGCACGGAAATTGAATATGTAGGATTGGGCCTGGTTAACACCAGGTGGCCAAGAGGCCAGTGAAGAATATTTCCAGATACAGGTAACAAGAGCATCCTGCCTAAGACCTTGCTGAGCTGCTGCCTGTCACAGCTGACACTTCTGGCCTAGATGGACTGGTACAATATAAAGTAGCTTCCTATAGTCTTGTGAATCAAGTTTGGCAGATCGGCAGACATTTAGGGTAACCAGTGTCCATTGCCAAAAAGGAGGATATGAAGGACAAGGAACATCAAAAAGGAGGACAGTTCTGAATTAAATGGGCATATCTGATTAAATCTAATATGTACTATTACAGCAACTATTAACAATAGTAACAACAGGGGATGCCAGAGTTTAAGATAAAGAATTGCAAAAATGAACAAAATGCAGAGACCTGGTAGTACAAATAACTCATTTGTGGATGAAACACATTTCTGTGGTCCCCATAATCATGGGGACATTGGGAGCAATGCTATGGATTTTTATAAAATATTGTAATCAACTGCAGATCAGGAATGGGGACTCCAGTCGTGGGTCTCACTGTCAAGTTGGAGTTGTTTTTTGTTTCAATGACTGACTCAACTCAAAACTAGAAATGTAAAATTTCCAAAAATTTCCATATTTTCTGGGGGAAGAAGCTTTCCCCCCTTTTTTTCCCCAGAAAAATTGAAATTTTCCAAAATTTTACATCTATATGCAGAACCCACCCACTCAATACCAAAGACTCAGACTTGGCACCAAAGATTTGGACCAAAAGACTTGCCAACATCCCGGTGCAAATCTCTGAAATAATACCATCAGAGCTGCCCCCCCAAAAAAGGATTAGGAACAGCGTACATTTTACACCGATACTTAAGTTTTTGGGTTAGAACTTGCATCTGTTGTATAACACCAATCAATGTTTTAATGATTTTAGCCTGTTTTTGACTGTTTAATATTTTTGGATATTTTTATTATCATTATAATCTTAGAACTGCAGAGCCAGAAGCAACCCTATGGATCACTGAATCCAGTCTCTTTTAAGGAGGCAGATTGTATATGCAAATAGTATCACATATAAACATTAATTACTATAATTTAAGTAGAAATATACTACTGCTCACCCATAGAGTACAAAATTGTGACCACTTTGGGATACAATGTTGAGATACTGTAAATTGGATATAAATCAAATCAATCAATAAATCAGACACAGTAATTAGTAATCCTCTGAAATGCTCAGTGCTTTGAATTTTTGCAGCTTAATGATTATATACATGGAAAGAAAATAAGCAGAGGTCACTGTAGTTTTATTGAAACATCTATCAAATACTGTAAATTTATTGTCATTGTAAGTATATACATAGTATACCCATACAATCTAGCTAGGCAAGAAACCAGTACTGTCAGAGCAGTGCTCTGAACATTGTTTTCATAATATCCACTCCTGGGACTAGTGTCCAGTCTGAATATCATACAGAATTGGCATGCTGCACCATATCTCTCTGCTATCCATCAGCAGCTATATCAGCGGGTGTCGTTTGCTTCTTTTCTTACAAAATGACCCACCCACCCATTATTATCCTTAAAAAATTAGAGCTGATTTTGTACATTTATCAATCTGTTCTCCTTGCTTGGCCTGGGGAATTCACGGGAATTCACCTAAAAGGAGGGGAAGTATTCCCCCCCCCCAAAAAGAGGAGAGTCCTCCCTAAAGGAGGATGCAAAACAAGTAGGCAGGAGTGGTCGCTAGTGTCTGCAGTGGCCAAGGGGACGACAGAGGGCAGAACATGTTGGCTGAGTTCCTGTCAAAAGAGGAGTTGAAGCAAGTAGGCGCAAGTGACAGGAACAGTTCATGTCAAGGAGCCTTGGAGAACTCAAGAGAGGTGGAAGGTGGGCCCTTCTGTTAAGACGGGGGCACTTTGAGGGCATTGTTGAGGTGCCGTCCAGCCCCAAGAAATGCCAGTCCTGAAAAGTTTCTCGTCTTTGGAATAACCTCCCCTTAGGGATCCGCATGGCCCCTTCGCTGGGTATTTTAAAAAGCTGACTGAAAACCTGGCTATTTAGGCAGGCCTTCCCTCTGAGCACCACTTGATCTATCTTTTCTTTTTTTCCTTCCATCTTGAATTATTGTTTATTACTGTAAACTGTTGTTAAATTTTAACTGTTTTATTCTACTTGTTGTAAGCCCCCCATAGTAGTCAACGACTAGATGGGCGGGATATAACCAGCCAACCAACCAACCAACCAACTAAATAAAATTAATGAAAAGTACAGGCTCAGTAAGTTGCCAGGTGAAGGAGCACCTGCTTGAAATGACAAGACTCTTCATGAGTAGAGGGTTACTTACAAGTAAGACTCTTTTGGGAGTAGATCTCTCCTTCAGATGACTAATGGCCTGCAGCTGTGCTCACAGTGGAGCCCTGAATGCCTTCAGTTGCAGGGAAAGAGTGGCTAAAACCACACGTGTGTATATTGTGTTTCCTCAGGCTGCCTAGTGTTCGGCTGGACACCCAACTCTTCATCCCATCGTCGGACCTTCTGACGGATTTCTGGTGGTGAGTACAATACAATATGGTCTATTGTTGAGCAAGACAATTATCTTGAATTAATAATCACTTTTCTTTATAGGCTTGTTTACAGGCAGATATTATTTACTCTGATATCAGAATCAGAGGTTGATTCAGAAAAGAAAATTGGGTGACTGGATAAAAAAAAATAGAGGATAGAAATCCTATATGGTTAATATTTGGTTAGAAGAGGAAATGTTAGCAGGTGTAGCTTTTAGCACAAGCTACACCTGCTGGAATTTCCTCCACTGCACAACTGTTAAAGGTACAGGAACTGTCTCCTCTTTTTCATTTGGTTGCTCTCAAAAATCCAAACCAAAACATCAGGAACAAAATCCAAGCCACTTATTGGACCCACTTCTTTGCACTTCAAAGACCAGCCTATACTTACCTGGTCGATAGGAAGGGCACACTCTCACCAGCATTTGTGCCAGTGTAAGGACCAGGTCCTGCATGGATAACATTGCTGGTTTTTCCCCTATGTCTGCAATAT